AGGAATATGTGGCCATGTTGATGTTGTTGGACTACCAGTTCCATGAGCCCCAAACAGTATGGATGATAGTCCAATGGTGGCTGGAAGCCCATGGGCTTCCCATCCCTGTCATAATGAGGCCACCATTTTAGTCTCCCCAGAATACAGCGCTACATGGCTTCCGTTGTTCCTTAGTATGGTAGATTTCTAAAACGAACAAACATGGCAGCTGCCACAACAACTTGAGCACAGCTATAGTTTTTACACACAATGTCACAGAATGACTGAACTTCTAGGCCATTTCATTTTGGCCACAACCATAACCACCTCGAATGGAGGCCTACTGAGCATCACCATCATTATTGGACCCTAGTAGGCACCACCAGTAATAGCTCCAGCTGGTGGATGATATTATCAGGCCTAGGCATGGAAATAGAACTGTTAGAGTCTCTCAAAACTATAGGTACAAGTGTATCTCTAGCGCTTCCTTACAAAGCTCTTCCCCATTGTGTTGCTCCACTCAGAAGCTTCTTAGAATATTTATCTGTGTATCAGCAGCCACCCAACTAGCGCAGGATTAAGGTGAGACACTGCTGGCAGATTAGTGGATACTCATTGTATATGATTTTAGACATTACTTGCAACACTTAGCCATTCTGGTTTAGGAAACAGTCTGAGGATTCAGGAAAAATAGTGTATGCTGGTATAGTGTGTCCTCCCTAAAAGAGGGCACGTATTGCGATGAGACTTGGAAACTGACCTCTTCATTGTGGGTGGGTATATTGGACAGCCACAACACCCGATTGGTAGGTCCCTCGTTGCTGAGTTTAATCTGGCCAATGGGGAGCTGTCTAAATGGGCCGAAGGACCTATATATATCCATGCACATGACCCAGAGCTTCCTCTTTCAGCTCATGCATCAGAACACCCACCCACCTCTCCCTATATTTAGGGCATTTTGCGATTGACCTTGCTATGCTGTCGTGTGTCGTCTGTCATTGGGACAGGGGCATGGCAGGAATTTTCCCCACTTGGCTGGTTGGCTGTTGCCATTTGGGTTTCACCTGCCGTGTAGCAAATCAGCACAACTTGTAAGGTTGCAGGTAGGCACTGGTTCATGTGATAGGGATGGCAGAACGGTCTCACCATCCCTATGTGAAGGGTATTCTGTTAAAGGAATCCAGGGACTCAACTTGGTTTGGTCAACCCCCAACAGGGGGTTGTGCCCGTGCCTGTGTCCAGAGGAGTATCTGGGGAGTGGACATAGTCCGTTCCCGGGCTTTCTACCTACCTCAGGTGTTCACCCTTGTGTGACCTATGATAAGAGCTCTGGGTCAGCACTACCTGCAAGGGTGCAGGGAGCTAGTCGAACCAGAGCCTATGCAACCACTCACTTTCTGTAATCAATAAAGTTGTGGCCTAAATTCTGCCGAAAACCAAAACTAAAATTTGAGACAAATGTGTGTTTATTTAGGGTAGAGGTCTCTGAGTCTGAACATGCAAAAATATTAAAAGTACTCTCTCTCTCTCTCTCTCTCTCTTTCTCTCTCTCTCTCTCTCCACACACACACACACACACACACACACACACACAGTGCAATTATGTAGTCTATGGTATTTCCAGCATAGAATAGTCATTTGTCTGCTTGAAAGATTACTTTTCTTTTTAAAAACAACCACAAACTTGTATGTTTCCCTGTACTTTTTGTTGCCTCCGCTTTAGGCTGCTTCCATCCTGACCACTTCAAATGTCATGAAGATCTACTTTGAAAAGGTCAACATGTCATCATGACATTTCCTTATGTACTCTTATCTGGATTTTAAAAATGACCAAAAATCCCTCTACTCTGAAAGACCACGAATCAGCCCTCACTATTAAAAAAAACACAAACTACGAGTGGCAAGGGAGAGAGGAGAATGTCCAAGTATTTCAATTGGGCAGTTGAGAGAAAAGCGGTCTTCACTACTTTCCTGGAACTGGGGGAAGAACATTGGAAGGAGGGCGAGCAATATAACACTTTTCTTTTTTTTTAAAAAAAATTATTAACCGGCCAATCAAATCAAATTAAATCACATCACATAAATTCCGAATTACAAAGCCGAATTTTAAATTTTGTTGGGGGGACCCATATTTCAAGATCCGAAGGGGGATTCTGATCATCTTCTTGCTACTGCGTTAATGTCCAAATCAGTCCAAATCAGTCCAAATCAGTCCAAACAGAGTTCATAATTCTATCCAGTCTTATCTTGCTGTTTCCACATCACATCTTGTTTATATATTTTCTCTTTTTTCTTTATGATCTCTTCTGATAGTCTCCTTAAGCCGATAAACACCAATAATAATAATAATCCTGTGTGAATTTTCCGTTCTTCCATTCCTCAAATCGAGATGGTTTCCATATATCATCACCTTCATAGATAACATCGCTCTTTCCATCTCGCAAAACTGTCGCTCTTAAGTCCCTCTGAGGAGTTTCACCCACAATATATAAACAGCTCTATTTCTCTCTTTCTCCTCCCAGACTCAAGACCTCCAACAGAACTTCCCAATATGGCGACGGCATTTTTAACTGCGTCATTCCCAAGCTCTTATACATCCCTCGCTCTTCTTAAAACATGCTTTGGTTCGAAAGTTTATCTCCACACAGCCTTGCAATATAACACTTTTCAACCTTCCCAAAGATTGTTCAATGCCTACATTTTTTTAAAGGGGGCTTTCTAAAGTTGGTTTGGCCTGAGGTGGAAACAGGGATGGCCCAGAAATTGGATTCAATTTGCATTTAAAGTCAAATCTGCCTGATTTGTACTTAGGCGAACAATAGGCAAAATTACCTTTCTCGGAATTTTGAGATGCAGTTCTCCAGCGAATTAATGTATACAGAAATGCACATACTAAGGTAAAGTGAACATGCAAAATGCATAATCAATGCAAATAACATATAATTTTGTTTGACATAAAACTCCACTGGTCTGCTCTACTGTCTGAGTGAACACGAAGGTCTATCGATCCCTGGGATCCTAAATGCTGTGAGTGAGACTAGGCTGGAAGCGGAGGGAGTGGAGTAAAATTGCTACCTGTTGTGAACAGGAGGAGGCAGGGAAGGCACTGAGCAGTTTTGTAGACAGAAAAACAAAACCTATAATAACTACAGTGGTACCTCAGGTTACATACGCTTCAGGTTACAGACTCCACTAACCCAGAAATAGTGCTTCAGGTTAAGGACTTTGCTTCAAGATGAGAACAGAAATTGTGCTCCGGTGGCGTGGAGGCAGCAGAAGGCCTCATTAGCTAAAGTGGTGCTTCAGGTTAAGAACAATTTCAGGTTAAGTATGGACCTCCGGAACGAATTAAGTACTTAACCTGAGGTACCACTGTACATTGCACTATTGGTATCTGAAGAAGTGTGCATCCACACAAAAGCTTATACCAGAACAAGCTTAGTTGGTCTATAAGGCACTACTGGACAATTTTTTATTTATTTATTTATTTATTTATTTATTTTTACATTGCACTATGTACAGAAGGTATGCACTGCATTGTGCTCATGTTGTGTGCATTTAATACAGTTGTAATCATTGGTAAAATGAAATGCATATTTTAATGAGACTGTGTGGTGTAGTGGTTAAGAGCGGTGGACTCGTAATCTGGTAAACCGGGTTTGCGTCTCTGCTCCTCCACATGCAGCTGTTGGGTGACCTTGGGCCAGTCACACTTATCTGAAGTCTCTCAGCCCCACTCACCTCACAGAGTGTTTGTTGTGGGGGAGGAAGGGAAAGGAGAATGTTAACTGATTTGAGACTCCTTTGGGTAGTGATAAAGCGGGATATCAAATCCAAACTCCTTTTCTTCTTCTGAGAGGGGAAAATCTTGAATCAAGCAATTTAAGGACTGAGATGGGAATTACATAAAACTCCCTGCAGATTAGAGTCACATAAAGATTTTTGTACACTGAGGATGGACAAAAACGATGGACAACAGGGGTGGAGCCATAACTTAATTACACAACTAATTAGGTAAGCTGAATAAGTTATGCAAGTTATGTTATTTTGCCACAGTAAATAGAATAAAATAGTTTCTCACAAATGACAAACTGCAGCAGAGTGGAAACAGTTCTGCGTAAGACAAATGCAGGGCAGAATGGAAGACGATGCTTCCAGATATGGAAAGTTTATCCTCTCTTGATAAAAGTTGTTTAAAGTTGGGATTTTGTTTTTGTATCCATTTCTCTCTTTTTTGTAATTGTTATTTATTGGGTTGTGTGTTTTTTTTTAAAAAAGAAGCAACTTTATTTCATTTAAGCACTGCCTCAGATTCAGTGGACATTACTGGGAGGAGAACAAAGAGGAGGAGAGATGGGGAGAAACTTGTAGCCTTAAGAAGTTGTTAGAGTCAAGATGAAATAATAAAAAGGAGTAATCTGCAACCTTTCTTCCCATCGCCTGATGCTGAGCTTCAGAATAGAAAACTTCAACGAAGTAAAAAGCTCTTGAGGCAAAGTTTACCTGCGGTAGAAAAAAATAAAACCCGAACACAGCAAAGGAAGCAGTAATCACTCTATTGTATTCCAGAATGTTCGGCACAGAATCTTTTTGTGTCCATGTGGAATGACCTCATTAAAGCACTTGATTCTGCTTCCTCTTTGCTGCATCAATATATTGTATTCTTTGGTGACTGTTAAGAGAGATGGGTGAAAAGACTGAAGGGGAGAAGGGGTAGAACCAATTAATGAAGAAAGATGAACTGGAGGTTGAAAAGCAAGCTTTTTGTTGTTGTGTGGTATTCCTCATCTGAAAAGAAAACTTTGTATGGGTTTTTTTTTAAAATAAACTTTTCCATATGAGTCTCATGAAGTACTATGCTGCAAATTTCTCCTGTATCTTTTCTCCAAAAATCACATTCCACCTAAGTTCTGGTTTTATGGCTAATTTTAATTGATTTTAATTGATTTTATGCTGTATTCCTATTGTATCTCTCTTGTCTTCTTGTTGTACACTGCTCAGACACTATGGCATTATGCAGTGTATAGCTCAGTTGGTTAGAGCATGATACTGCTAATGCCAAGGTTGCAGGTTTGATCCCCATATGGGACAGTTGCATATTTACATGATCCTCAGGGTTGCTTCCAACTCTATGAAATAAACAGCAGTCAATGAGAGGCAAAGTGCATTCAAAAAATTGTCAAGTGGGGTTTCTTCAATGAGATTTCCATAAATGAGGTGTTTGGTATTCCTTTTGTTTACCTTAAAAAAGTGAGTGTTTTGTGAATTTACTTCCTTTCCTTCTTCAACTCTTCTCTTCAGTGGTCTGCAGCCTTCCTGGGTGTCCACAGTTACAGGACAGCCGAGCCGAGGACATCATGAGGTTTTGAGGAAGCGTGAGCTAGGAAGGGTGCAGACCATGAAGAGGTGATTGTACAATGGAAGAGGAGACACTCTTGCCTCTCAGATACATTGTAAGTAACCTAAGTGCAAAACAAAAATATGAAAGAATTCCCGAAGTGTCTTGAGAGATAGGCAGAAAAATCCCACAACCTTTCCCCCCCTCGTGATGTGAAAACAAGAAATTTGAGGACAGAATACAGCATAGCATTAGTATAATAGAACTTGTAGCACAGCCCTACATTTCATTTTACAACGCCTTTTGTCCACCAGATAATTTTATGTTAGTCCTACTGAAACTTCTGGCTTCCCTTGAAATCTCTTAGTCATTTTTATTGGGCCATGCAAAACCTCCAAATCTGCCTCAACATTTTGCTTTTAGATGAAATTTCATGGCAATTCTACTAAAGGGACTACAGTGGTACCTCGGGTTAAGTACTTAATTCATTCCGGAGGTCCGTACTTAACCTGAAACTGTTCTTAACCTGAAGCACCACTTTAGCTAATGGGGCCTCCTGCTGCTGCCACACCGCTGGAGCACAAATTCTGTTCTCATCCTGAAGCAAAGTTCTTAACCTGAAGCAATATTTCTGGATTAGCGGAGTCTGTAACCTGAAGTGTATGTAACCTGAAGCGTATGTAACCCGAGGTACCACTGTATATTTCTGCACCCTCGTTGAGATCAGCTTGATCAAATGACTCACCATACAGTTAAAGCACATGACTTCCCCCAAAGGATCCTGGCAACTGTAGTTTATTCCTCACAAAGATAGAATTTCCAGCACCATTAACAAACTAAGCTTCCCAGGATTCTTCAGAGTTTGCCCTATGTAAATAAAAAACAATTATCCTGCTGACAGAGTTGGGTCAAGGTACATTGAGGCTAACCAAATTTAGTGGAAGCTGTTAGATTTAACTAGCAGTTGTTACCTTTCTGCCTTATCGCTAGACAGATTTAGAGCCCTATAAAAATTTACACGGGTGGGATGTTGCTGTCACACTGACTGGAACTGAGATGATTCACTCTAGGAGAAGCTCTAGCAGCAAACATATTAGCATCTTACAGTCAAACTGTTGAAGAAGTTCAATTGCAAATATGAAAAGAAAAAAAGTAACTCACCAAAAAATAGTTAAAAGAAAATATTCTGCACAAAATGGTTGCCATATATGATGTAATATGTATAAAATTCACAAGCGAAACATAATGAGCTAATATTATTTCTACTTCTCCATTATATCTGCAGGTGTGGCAATGGATGTGCTGGGCCATTGTCTTGTCATGGTTATAAACTGGATGAGAGCCAACAAACTGAAGCTCAATCTAGATAAAACTGAGGCAGTGTTAGTGGGTGGTTCTAGACCAGATGGATGGGATGTGGTCTGCTCTTGATGGAGTTACACTCCCTATGACATAACCTCCAACATTTCTCCAATGAAAATATGGGTGCCCTATTCAACAACAACAACCATTTTCCTATTTATACCCCACTAATATGACTGGGTAGCCCCAGCATCAATGCCAGATTTATGTATAAACCAAACAAGCTATAGCTTAGGGCCCCACTCTCTTGGGGGCCCCTAAAAAAAATTAAAGGGAAAAAAAACCTGGATGCACATTTCCAAAATATAAGATAAAAAAGCAAATAAAATAAAACCTACATACAGCAAGAGTATTTTGTGTTGTGTAGGCTCCTATGATGTAAGTAATGGTAATGATTAATGAGTACTGATGTAAGCCTGCTGGCCTACTTTCTAAAATATCTCTGGTTTGCTCATTTCTTTATATAGGATGCCTACAATCTGCATGTGCAAATGACATTAGATACCTATTAGGTCCATAAATTACCATATAGCATATATCCAATACAAAAAATGACGACAATTTGTTGTTGATGAAGGACAGCTGGGCATATAAAGGGCCCCATTACCTTCAGTAGCTTAGGGCCTCATCAAACCTAAGTCCGGCCCTGCCCAGCTTCCAAAATACAGTGGACCCTCTAGTTACATACCGCTCTGGATATGTAACTTTTGGGTTATGAACATTTCGCTGTGCGTGCATCCGCAGAAGCACTCAATCGTGCTGCGCGTGTGCACAGAAGCGGCGCCTCTGCCTACAGACTTTTCAGGCTGTGGATGGACCCCCGGAATGAATTTAATTCATATCTGGAGGGTCCACTGTATATAAAAACATTAAACATTAAAAAAAAAACCTTCCCTATACAGGGCTGCCTTCACCCTCCAACGTTTCTCTGATGAAAATAGGGACATCCTAAGGAAAAGGGACACGGGTGGCGCTGTGGGTTAAACCACAGAGCCTAGGACTTGCCAATCAGAAAGTAGGTGGTTCGAATCCCCGTGATGGGGTGAGCTCCCATTGCTCGGTCCCTGCTCCTGCCAACCTAGCAGTCTGAAAGCACGTCAAAGTGCAAGTACATAAATAGGTACCACTCCAGCAGGAAGGTAAACGGCATTTCCGTGCGCTGCTCTGGTTCACCAGAAGCGGCTTAGTCATGCTGGCCACATGACCCAGAAGCTGTACGCCAGCTCCCTCGGCCCAGTGGCGTAGCGTGGGGGGTGCAGGGGGGGCCGGCCGCACCGGGCGCAACATCTGGGGGTTAGGGTTAGGGGGCGCAAATCCACGGGTTAGGGGGCGCAAATTACTTGCCTTGCCTCGGGTGCTGACAACCCATGCTACGCCACTGCCTCGGCCAATAAAGCGAGATGAGCACTGCAACCCCAGAGTCGGTCACGGCTGGAGCTAATGGTCTGGGGTCCCTTTACCATTTACCTTTAAGGAAAAGCAAAACTTCTGGGACCGCAAAACAGGGGTAGCTTCTGTAAACCCAGAACTGACCCTAGAAAATAGGGACCCTTGGAGAGTCTGCTATGAAGGAGCAGATATGTAGCTTGGGAGGGGTTACTCCTGGATCCTTTGCTGTTGCTTGAGGTTCAAGTGGTCTTGGTGGCACAGAGTGCCTTCTATCAGCTTCAGCTGGTGGCCCAGCTACACCCCATCAATACAGTGATAGCCTAATGTCTATGCTCTAGTAACTTTGTGGTTACATTATTTCAGCGTGGGGATGATTTTGAAGAGGGCTCTGAAACTTCACCTGGTGCAGAATCCAGCTGCCATGTTGCTCACAGGGGCAAGACAGTTTGAGTATATATAACACTGATCCTGGCCAGACTGTGCTGCCTGCCAGTTAGTTCTGGTTTGAATTGGCTTGGGACCCCAATAGCTCTCCCCACATGAATGGGCCTTTTATGTGATGGCTCCCTGTTTGTGGAATGCTCTCCCCAGGGAAACTTGCCTGACACCTTCATTACATAGCTTTAGGAGCCAGACAAAAACTTTCCTCTTCAACCAGGCCTTGGGCTGATTAAACAATCGATGGCCTTTTAAATGTGTCTGTGGGAAGGGGGTTATTGGTTTGTTTTTGTTTTGTTTTATTATGTATTTTGTGTTTGCATTTTGCATTTTTATGTTGTGATCCACCCTCTGCTCTTTGGACGAAGGGAATAATAATAATAATAATAATAATAATAATAATAATAATATACTCCATGGTATATTTATTTTTGTCGCTCTACTGTTGACATAGTTCAATATATCTCATAAATATTACCTACCTTTTTAAAATTACTATCTGCATTTTCTGAGATTTCTTTTCTCACTTTTTGGTGGGGTCATTTATCTGGTTATTTTGAGAACCAGGGTGCTTCCCCCATTGCTCCGAAAGGTGTCATCATATATATAATATTCTGAAATTATTGAATTGGGTCAGGTTAATTTAATTTGTGTTAGGCTCTAAAGGTTGAGATTATCCAACGGGTTTACAAATAAATCACAGATCAGCTGTATGTGATGTTATCTGGCCTTATTTTCTAAATGAACCAGTTTTGGTGGATTAAAAGGACATACTAATGAAAATGACTGCAGATTAAACAGGAAGAGCTAGGGCAGGCCATATAGGTAAAGGAAGCTGGCATTCAGAAATGACTTATCTTTGCGGAGCCTGAAAAAAATTTAATTAAATCTATGTGCCAACCCATCTGATATTCAAGAAAATTAGTGTACTAAAAAAGTACTGTGCTGAGCTGATCTTGATGATTTTCCACTTCTCTTTTCCCCCATTGCTTCACAGAGAAATAATATTAAATTCTCCAATATTCCTCCTCTTGCCAATGTATTTAACATGGGACCTCAGTGATATAAGAAACTGCAGAACATAGTTTAGCATTTTATCCCCACCCCCCATCCTTTAACCAAACTATGAAAAATGTTTGTGCCCTAAAATCCCACAAGTCAGACATAGGGACAATCAACTTTAGTTGCCCCTTATCTTCATGGTCTCCCATGTTTCCTCTTAATTATTTAGCAATTTGTTTGTTTGAGTTGCTTCGGTTATGCACAGTGGTTGTGTTCCAGCATTGCACAAGTATGGATCAGCACAACTACAGTGGTACCTCGGGTTAATTCGTTCCGGAG